CACAAACGGAGCAAATGGGGGGATTCGTGCTTTAGTCGCAAATACGACCTCGTCCTCGAGGCGTGCCACCCCCAATCTCACCCCTCCGAAATACAGGCATGGCTCCTGCCTGCAGTGGGCTGTGCAGGCAGGGAGAAAATTGAGGGTCTTTGGGCAAATCGTCTTCACCTCCTCCACGCTCCCCTCCCCAACCCCCAAATTTGCATGAATTAACCCCAAAGATGCTTGGGGTGGGGGTGGGGGTGTGCTTGCCTGTAAGCAAAGGGAGCCAGGAAAGCATGCGATGGGGAGAAAGTAGGAGAAACTGAGTGCCGGGATGTGTGATGTCAACTCAGATGATGCCGTAACCACCTCTGATAAGCACCAAGCATCACCGCTTGGATTTGGACTTGGAGGAAGGAGCCTAGACCTCATGCCAAATAAAAATCAACATGTTAAAAAAAATAAGTAAAGCTCTGTGCTGTTAAACAAACCTGGGGTGTTTTGGGAAGGGAGAAAGGGGAGGAGAGAGTTTACAGGCAGGAGAAAAACTGTATTTAGAAAAAAAAATATTCAAGGTTGGTGGCTTTTTGGTGAAACGGGGGTTTGTGGCTGCTGGATATTTTTTGCAGCAGCAGAAAGATGGTGTTGGTGGTGTTTTAGCATGATGCTCGGAGGAGACAAGGAACGTCAAATCCAGCCGAACTCCCGAGCCAGCCGCTGGGGAGCGAGCGGTGGGGAGAAAACGCAGGAAAAGGAGAAAAACTGGGACAAATGCAATCTTCTCTCCTCTGGGCCTGGCAGAAAAGGGTTAAGCGAAGCGGTTGAATGCTGCAAGCCTTGTCAGGGTTGTACTATTTTTTCTAGTGCATAAGGAGAAGGGAGAGGAGGGTTGCACGGAAAGGGGAAATTTCCAAGAAAAGAGGGATCTGCGGCAATATCTGCACCTCGGGTGATGACGAGAGGAACCAACAGGCATAAATGGCCTGGAGACGGCTGAAATCTCTGCCGAGGAGATTGGGACCGTGGGGTTATTTTCCACCTGCCTCCCCTACCCGGTTCTGTAATCCTGGCTCAAAGTAGACAAGTGGAGTTGGAGCTGAAGAAGGGAGGTTAGAGGGTTTTTTTTTTCTTTGGGAGGGAAAAAAAAAAATAAAGAAAAAATGAGAGGTTGGTTGGACCTCTCTGGGTTGAGCATATCTGTGATGTGAGGCAAGGCAGGATGAGCTAAATGAGCGCTCGTTAGGGGCAGGGATGCTGACGACCCGGCATGGACCGGGGACCAGAGCCTCAACATCCCCATGAGAAATTTTGCCCACCGGAGTCGAATTCCCACGGGGGGTGGGTGGGCCGGGGGGTTGGCTT